CTCCCCAGGCAGCTGCCAGGGCCTTGATGTCATCCCTGTAGCCCGTCTCCAAGCTGACCCTTCACTTCCTACTCAGGTTTCCCAGGATCGAACAAGTGGCACTTGACAGGGTCAGATCTCAAGTCTGCCTGCCCAGGCTCCAGGCTCTGCAAGATGGTCTTTGCAGGAACTTAACAAATACTTGCTGATTGATTGGCAGCAAGAATGTGAGGGCTTGCTGACTTTAGAGCATGGTTGCCTTTCGTTCTGGCTGCTGGGATCTACCACAGATAGGGAGCCAGTGCACTGGTTCCGATCGAAATCATGTCCTTCTAATCATGCAACATCTAAGAGACAAGCTGGCCACCTGCGATCGTTAGAACTACCCACAGTGAGAACATCAGCCCAAACTACCATCGAGCAGCAGAAAAAGTGGCAGGAGGTGAAGAGCAGAGGGCTTGGGGCTTCCCGACCCGTATCCCAGCAGCTGGGATCAACAGACGACTAGGGTAACATGTTTTGCATGATGTTACTTCATTATAATGTTAATACTTAAAAAAAAATCAATTCCCACCTGGGACCACTGACAGGGTGAAGTTTTCCCATTCTCCCAACGACTGTGTGGCTGTTCCCTGGATTCTCCGGTTTCCTCCCACATGGTGAGGTCCGTTGGCATACCTCGATGCCCCAGTAGGGATGAATGTGTGTCCTGTTCAGGGTTGAATGCCATTTCGTGCCCTGAGCTTCCGGGAAAGGCTCTGGGCAACCACATTGGCACCAACAGTTCGGAAAACGATCGAAAGCAAATGATCGTGGAATATTAGAAGCACTTGGAGTCTTTATGAGAAGTTCGGTGATGTCTTTGTGACCCAAAGCGGGCCTTCTAGCAATTAGCCCGGGTCAGGTGGGGTCAATATACCTCATTTCCCTTCAAGGCAGTTTCCCACAACTGTCAACACCTTGAGTGAGGACGCACTGTGCGGCCAGATGAGCAGGTTTCTCCTGCTGTCCCAGGGCCCTTTCTGGCCCCCAACAGAGTGACTTGGGGTTAGAAACTTCATTTCCTTTTCTTTATCCTTGTTTTTCTGAGCTCCCTTGCAGCACCTCCCCACATTCCTCCAGGCCTCACCTGGCGAAGGGAAGCCTCCGCTGCCTTTTTAAAACTCAGCCCCTCCTGAGTCACCTTCTCTGTGCGTCTTTCTGGGCACCGGGTGGACCTGACAACCTTCCTCTGGCCCCACAGAGAACGCTGCACGTCTTGTGTTCTCGCACCTTCGTTCTCACAGTGTGTACTCAGCTGCTGTGAGACCCCAGCAACCCCAGGAGGCAGGCTTTTTGGGGACAGAGGGCATGTCCCAGACATGCTGTTCCCCAGCTGCCAACAGAGCATCTGATAGGGTGAGGTATGGCCAGAAGAGAGA